TCAGTAGCACTTGAACGTGATTGGCTTTTACTTTTAGAACCAACCAATCAACGTAGTTTATTGATAAGACGAACTCAACAGTTGTGTCTGCAAACGCGGCCAATAACGACACGCGATTCGCTTTTCCGCAGGATGTCGCCGATGTCGGAAATTCAAACAATTTCGGGACGTTAGGTTAGACGTTAACGGAAACGAGACGTCGTGATCGAGGATTTCGTGTATTTTCAGGGCACAGATAACTTAAGAAGCTCTTACTATTCATTTTTTTAAGTATTTCGAAGTTTGAGAGGCCAAAGGTAATTTCTCTTTAAGTAAATCACACACAAATAATCTATTGAAATCGACGAAGAAAATGGATGTGTTTTGTTGACATTTATTTTCAATGTTATATACTTTGTTGTATTAATTCGTTTTTCTTCTTCAAACTCGATTTACTTGCAGGCAACGTGTTGATCATCATGGAGCAGCCGTCCATCAACAAAATTCACCGTAATTTACAAGATGTCTCATTGCCATCGACTATTGAAGATCTCAAAAATCCAACGGAGGATTACATAGTGAATTTATTAACCACATTCTTATTACAGTTCTGTATCAATATGAATTTGATTGATCAGGTAAGACCTCAAATCTCTTACATATTTACTAGTCATTACTATATATGTATATGCCTGTGTTCGTTTTTTTCCACTGGGAACATATACTATATTAAAAATCTATAATATACGTAACGTTATTATATATTTTTAGTATAGTACATGCTCTCAGTGGGAGAAATTGGATATCCATATACAGATATAAATAATACCTTGGAGTAATAAGATGGAATAATTGTTTTTTGTTTTCATGTATTTTTCTTATTTGTAACGAAATTTTGCAGCCACTTCCAGAACAACTTGACGCTATGGCATATTACGAAGATTCTGATGTAATAAATCTTATAAATTTACACGCAGTTGTGGCACGGATATTTGATAAGATATTTATACATGATTTTTGTCTCACCGACATTACTAGTCCAGGTACAAATATTTCAGTTTGAAACCTTTTATGAGAGCAACAACTGTGCTATAATAGTACAATTTTGTTGATATTACAAATGAATTTTGTAGGACAAAAGCGATTTAGAAAGCAGGCACAATATCTGTCTAACTTTGTATTGTATACACTGCATACAAAGTCTAAATTTAATGAAAAAATGGATGAAATACAGACTATGTCTAAACTGCTAAAAGAACTGAAAGAAAGAAAGGCTCAAGTTTCAGAAGCTATTAATAATAAGCTTATGCACAAAGCGAAGCAGTTATCCATGATAGAAAAAGTAGTTATAAAATTATATGTTAGTTCTTAATTGATTTTTTTCTTACGTATGCAATAATATATAAAATCGAACTTTATTATTTTAGCTAGAAGCTGAGATACGACATGTACAGTCAAGAACCGGACAATTTAATAAGAAGGGACTGGAACTCGAAGTAATGAAAAATGATATAGAAAAGGAAAATCAAAAAGCCAAAGAACTTTATGGCTCCGTGAAGACAACAGCAAAGAAAGTAAATATTCTTATTTAAATCTTGATTTTTGAAAGCAATTGTAACACTTTTACTGACGTACAATAATCGATAAATTTTTAACGCGCACTATATCATTTTTAGCTGTCCAAGATGATAACTGAAATACAGTCAGAAGTTGTAAATTCGCCAGAGGAATATCGATCCCGTTTAAATGAGATTGAAAACCAACACAAGTTAAAAGTAAAAGAACGTAGTGAAGTGCAGAATGCTATTCAGGACAAGAAACAGTTAATAAAACAAGTCGGAGAGAAATTAAACTTTGTCAAAAAAATGACTGGCGATTTTTGTATATTGGCAGATATATATAAAGAGCAACAGTATTTATTCATTTATATCTATATTATATATATTTCTAATTAGTTAACAATAAAATATGTATTATATTTTTCTAATATTTTTTTGATGTAGGAGCAAGAAAGCGAAGTTAGATGAGGTTAAAAAAGAAACTGATTTATTCAACAATATATGGATAGAATCAAAAACTAAATTAGCAAAGCACAAAGATCAAGTGGACACTGAAAAGAACAACTTACAAACATACCGTGAAGAAGACATGCGTCCATTGTGCGATCTGTATACCCAATTATTAAGGTAATATTGCATAAAGATTAAATTTTTCTTTAATTAAAATAGTTTTAGAATTGTTTATTGTCACACAATTTAATTTTTGATTTAATACTTTAATAAAACAATATTAAATTAAAATTTAATAATTTTTAGTGAAAGAAAGATACGGAAAACTAAATTAGATAAAGATCAAGATTGTTTCAATGAAAAATGCTTGAAAAGAAACAAATTACAAGCAGATGTTAAGAAGATAGAGGAAGAAACTGTAATTTTTATCAACAGTTGCCAAGAGACTTATAATAATGAAATTGCTAATGTGAGTTACATTGGTCTTTTTTTATAGAAATACATAATTAAATTATCTTTTAACATATTTTTTATAATACGACTTATATGATCTATTTCAGGAGCTTGAATTACGGAAAGTTTGGAAAGAAGAATAATCATAAAATCTAAAAATTTCTGTTTTCTCTTACTTTTTAATAAGATGTAGAATACTATAAAAAAAATTTTTTTCCATGAATAGTTTATGTATATCAAAGATAATATTCTATGTATATTTTTTATCGAAAATTTGTAATTTATTGTTCAAATATAAGTACTCTTTTACATAACAACAAATTTAAATCTTTTTTTCTAAGCTTTAATTACTTAATTTTCGATTATTTTTAATGATTTGTCTGTTGTCCGATTTTTTTGAGTATACAATGTGAAGTTGGACGGTTTTGATGGAACTTACATAAATTACTTTTTTTACGTCATGTTGAATTATAAAAGTTTCTCAAAGAGTTTTAAACTCGTTCTTCGGTTGGAATAAAGATAAGAAATGCAGTTCGTTAAATGCGATGAATTGATCGCGAATCTTAATCGATTAAATTGCGAAAATTTTATGATTGACAGCACTGCGAATCCGAACTGTTTGTGAAACGAAGAGGTATCGGCAATGTGGATCTTTTGTGTAAGAATTATTTTTTGCAATTTATAATTTGATATTTAACAGTTTCACACATATGAGTAATTTTCAGATTTTTATATTAATTAAAAAATTACAAATTATGTGATCGTAGAATTTAACGTGATCCTAAAGCCGTGATCCTAACCGGTTTTTTCAGTTTTTTTCTTAGCACTAATCTTTTAATTGGCTTTATAGAAATGCAAAATT